ATTTACTTGTTAGCTACCTAGTTATGTTACACTTACATGAACTTACACCTGTTTTGTTGTGCTTCACAAAATTGTTTCTCATTGCTGATTAAAATCCTCCCAAAATACTAAGCTATATAATCATCTTTCTTTCAAACAAAAGAAAGTACTTCTTGTTTTGAACATTAACTTTGTTGCATAAAATGAAAAATGCAACCCCTGTATCTTCTCAATTGTGAGTCAAACAAACCAGCTTTGGATCTCAAATTTTTCATTCCATATCCAAATGATGAACGAGGAAAGAATACTTGTTTAGGGTAATCATATCACAACTGGGAAAAGGCTTACAAATTGTCCCGTTCACAATTTACGTCATGAGAGAAGAGTACATTCATTTTAATATTATGTAATATGCAAAACATTCTATCTATTCCTAATATTCTTCTGTTACTAATCCTAAGGACTATCCTCCTTGTCCTCCCTTTGCTTTGTTATCATCATCACTACTATTAATATAATCCTTTTGGAATATCTTATACCTCTTCAAAAAGTTCCACGAAGTGGGGACTTTCGTGAAATCTAGTAATTCTACTTTTTTGTTTTTGATACCTAAGGCGGAGAGAACTATTAATATCAAGAATTTCAGTCCTATTAGTTGAGCTGGGGGTGTGTACAAGGTCATAGTGAAGGTGTAACTAGGCGTATGACAAAATTATTCCTTTTATTATCTTTTGGGTTGTGTGGAAAGAGAGAAATAGAAGGATTTTTGAAGAGGTGGGAGAGGATGTTGATAAGATTAGAGGTAGATGGTATCAAACCTTGGGATTATTAGCTACGGGTAATTCTTGGTATTCCATAGAAGATTTAAGTAACCTTATCAATTGACATGTAAATATCCTTTACATGGGTCACCCTCTTGGTACTTGGTAATCAACGAATACTTATATTTGTTATAAAAAAAAAACCTTCAACCTCAGGCCTTCGTAATCCTTACCCCAATGATGCCTCATTACACATGAAGTCTCCTTTTATCATCCTTCAGGAAATATGTTTCTCCTCAGGATTTTGACAAAGGATTGCTTGAGAAACCTTTTATTGACTTCACAGTCCTCCCTGGTGGAGAAACAGTTAATTGAAAGAGGTACATCTGGTGATTCTTAACTTAGTAGATAATCGATTATTTTACCTAGAATTACCCCTATTCTCCACTTCAATCTAATCTTACCTCCGTCTTGCTGTTGTTGAATGATGCCTAGATATTTCATGATTGATTTGAAGTTGTGGCATTCTGCTACTTAGCAAGAATATCTGCTTTTTGTTATGTGAAATTATCTGAATAAGTTATTTGTTGTTATCTTTCTGCTTTATTCTGCATTAGATGTATCTTATGCCCATCACTAGTTTGTACGAAATTTTATTTATGAAATTTAAATGGCAGTTTTTCTACTAAGCAACTTGGTAATTTTAAGTAAATTTGTTCAACTATTCTTTAGCAGTTCTCTTCCTTGGTTATCTCTACTGTCAAATTCATCATTGTCTTTAAAGCTTGATTATGTGGATAATATCTTGTTAGCTATGTCTCAAATCAAAATAGCAGCTTTTACTCGGAAAATCATGTTTGAGCTCTTAGAAAAATTTCCAAATATTTATAGGGAGAATCCTGAGTGTACGGAATTACTTATTTGCTCTTTATTAGCAGCTTTACACAATTACTTCAATATCCATATCTGGAAATATAAAAAGTAGGGTATTTACTAGGTCTTTAACAGTGACTTGAAGCTAGAACTAGAAATAAACATCATTTCCTAATGTATCAAGTCATTATCTTTTTAACTGATTTACTTAATTCTCCTCTTAAAATTAACAATACATATAATAATTTAAGTGATTGTATTTTTGTCCACTGATCTTAATATATCTTCTTCTTTTATTAAAAAATATATAAATTTAAGTGATGAAGAAATATTTGTAATATATACATATATATTTATATATTAATGTTTTTTACAAAGATAGTTATTAAATCGTTAGCACCACATAAAAATATTTCTCCTAAAATAGCTGTTAATATGAATAACATAAACTCAATTATAGTCATATAAATATCTAGTAATTAGTACTTTATGCAAACATAGAACTGTTTATTTTTCAATAAGAATTTATTCGCTTTAGGTAACTTAAAACAGCATACTGGTTTAAGCAAATTTTTTTCTTACTGCACTTTCCTCCATGTAAAGGTGATTCGCCATAGAGGCTCCTTATGGGATGTTGATATACAACCACATATAAGTAACTGATCTCAGTTAAAGCCGAGTGCATGCGCCTTTGTTTATACAACCTTTCATGGCAATGCACAGATGTGAAGGGAGGCATGGTCCCTGCTCCCAAAAATTCAGAAATCCTTATACATATATCTGTCAATTCAACATTTTATGTAAAGGAAAAACATGTCACTACTTTTAGTTAACATTTTTCCATATTCCACCCTGAGATCCCAGAAAAGCCACAAATTTGTTGTATGATGATAAAAAAATGTTACCAACTTTACTTAGCATATATTGCTTTTAGTTCTATTCTCACGAGTTTGGTATGATGAAACCTATCTATCTTCCTTTCCCCCAAAATAAACGATCTTCACTAAAATTTTCTTTCATGATACCATTACTGCCTGATCTTTTATGGGCAAAATCTATATATCCTCTAGATGGATCTAAGTTACAGTAGAACGAACCAGTGGATCTTCTTTTACTGATGATACATCTTTTTTAACAAGAAAAAGGAATTACAGAGGGTGCTTACACTGTGCAGTTGCATGGCAGCTTTGGTCTAAGCTTTTTTTTGCAGTATATGCCAAGTTGTGGGTTTGCTCTCATACATTGGAGGTTTTTAGTAGGAAAAAAGTTTTGGGAGGAAGGAGGAATTAAGGTTTTGTGGTGTGGCACTATTTTACTGGTTGTTGGGTTCTATGGTTGGAATGCTATACTACAATTTTGAATTATCATGCTCAATATTCTGTCTAATTAGGGATAGGTAGTGTTCCCTTCGTCTTTGTGAGATAAAACACACAAGAGATATACTTTATCTAGCTTGCAAAGGAAGTAGAAGGCTACTTTGTTGATCTCTTCACATTTTCCTTTCTTCTTGTTTTGTATTTCATTTTCTTTTCTTGTCAGAGATACTGTCCTCTCATCTTGTATTTCTGTTTCTCTCTTTATATAGTCCTTCCCTATTTTTTCCCCAAAAAAAGATGAAGGTCAGAGAGAAGACCATAAGTTAACAATAGGGTGTCTACAATTCCTAATCATGTTACATAACATCCATGTTAGATTGTGTTGATCCAAGAAGAACAAAGTTACCCTTAAGTGGAGATGACAGTAAAGCTAAAACAATTGAAGTGTAATGCAGTGAAGCTACAATCCAAGAAATACATCACTGGTAGGACTTATACAAGAAAAGCTTTTTAAAGAAACAAAATGTGCAAGTTCTTCCAAACCCAAAAAGTTCGCATAACAAACTAATAAAATAATCAAAAGCCAGAAAATCTCTGAAAATATAGTGATATTTTGGACCATGGGGAGGCGCCATGAATACAGAACAAATCTTGGAGGACATTTTCGTATTTTGGGAATTGGTTGTACTGGCATTTTATGCTGCTTAGGAAGAAGGCAACAATTAGATCATGACAGCCATAGTGTAACAGGTGGAGTACAGAGCAATATGGTCAAGTGGAGAGAGTAATGATAACAAACATATTTATGGCACCCTTGATTTTCTCTACTCTTAAGTTTATACACTAATTGGACCTTGATGAGACACCATGAAGCACAGACGAAGTTGAATGGTCATTTTGCATTTTGCAGAATTTGCCATGTTGGCGGTTTAGGCAACTCCGAGAGTTGGTAGCAATACCACGATGGTCCGACTATTATTGGTTGGTCTTCAGAGCAAGGTAGTTCAAGAGGAGAGAAAAGTGATTTAACAAACACATTTATAATGCAAGAAAATGAAGGTAGCAAGTTTCCTTTTAGACAGATATGGAAGGGTAATGCTCCTCCCAAGGTAGTTTTCTTTGCATGGGAAGCCAATAAAGGTTGTATTCTGACGATTGATAAATTGTTTAGAAGGGGTATGATTATGGTGAATGGATGCTATTTGTGTAAAGGAGTTGCGGAGACACTTGTAGACATGTTCTCTTATGATGCCTGATAGCTTACAAGTTATGGTTGATGATTCATAATATATTGGGTATCAGCTGGGTGATAGCTGGATTGGTTAGAGATGAAATCTGGGCATGGAAGAGCATAAGTTGACGGGGCAAGATTTTGATTTTATTTCACTCGTCATTTTCTGGATGTTTTGAAATGAGAGGAATAGAACTTTTGAGGGGGTAGAGGATGTGAGAGATTTTGAAAGGATTAGGAATAGATAGTTTCAGACCCTTAGTTTTTTTATGCGGGGTTATCCTCTATATTCAATAGAGAATTTTGGAGACTTTATTGACATTTTAATAGATATGTAAATATTTGTATATAGGTTAATATCTTCTTGGTGCTTGTTAATGTTATTCACACTTTTATTTTTTATTTTTAAAAGCAAACACATTTATAACACATTTGATTCTCTTTAAGCTTGTGGTCTGGTATCTGACACTAATTCCATGCATGTGGGTTGAGTTATATTGATCAACAAATGCAATGCAGTTTTGCATTTATAGGCACTTATTCTGATAACTCCACTATCATTATTTCAGTTCATACATCTTGTTTGTATCATTTTTACATATCTCTTAGAGTAGGGTGATAGCTTTTGTTATTGAAAGATGAACTCAAAATGGATATGTTTGCTGCCTTCGTCCTACTTTCTACACACACCGCCATTGGTGCTACTTTAAGAGAGAAACTTTACTCCTCAATTCCAATTAGATTGTTGTTTATATTCCTCTTCTCAGCTTGCCACTAATCATTGCGCTTAAATCTTTCCTAATATAGCTTAGTGGAGCAAGGAGATTGCGAGATGCCATAATTCTTGGGTTTCAACTGCAAAGAGCTCCTGGTAGAGATATATCTGTTCCAGAATGGTATAATATGGCAGAAACTGAACTTAGTCTTCGCTCTGCATTACCAACTGGTCAATTAACTCAAATAAGTTCTCAGTGAGTATCAGAGCACTCTCTTTAATGCTCCTTTTTGAAATTAACTTGTGTATGTTAGAAGTACTATCTCCTGTAAGTTTCTGAACATTCCTTTTTTATAGTTCTTCAAAGAGTTTTTTAATTCACATTTTTGTTTTTTTCATTCTAAGCAGATGCATAGAAGGCTTTGAAATTCTTCATGGGGATCATCTGGGCCTTTCTGATACAGTTAGCTTCTTGAGTGGCTTGGAACAACTAGCTTCTGTATCTGAGTCATCTAAAAGTACCAAAAATCCAACTAGGGAGAATCTGGCTGCTGCTACACTATTCAACTGGGAGGTCTCTGCTTCTTTTTTGGTTCCTTGTGTGATTTATTCAAAATTCTAGAGGAACACAAAAAAAACTAAATATAAGCATGTGGAAATATATGATTGTACTTTTCGATAAAAAAATTCATATGATTGTACTTTGACGACTATGTCTTAAATCATTGTAAATTCTTTATGAGCACACTACAAACAGAAAGAGAAAACTAAGTAAATGTTTCAAAAAGAAACATGGATAATTACAAACAGCTAATCGTTATCATACTCATAAATTGGAAGAAGCCGGATAGATGTCCTTTTTATAAAGATAGAATAGAGGTCCAGTTATTTTTTTGGTAAAATAAGTTTTACATTTTTCTTGTATTCTTGGCTACCTTTCTTTCTCCTTGTCTGAAGAAAGCTTTAGTTTATTCACGTGATGCTACTTTCTTGACATGGTTTTTGGTACTTCAGGAGGAAATCTTTGTGGCAAGGGCACCTGGGAGGCTAGATGTAATTGGAGGCATCGCAGACTATTCAGGAAGCCTTGTCTTGCTAGTCAGTCTATTTTGGCCATTAGCTCCCCTTTCTCATTCTCCATCATCTCATTCTTAGCAATAAGCAAAAGCATGCACTGAAATGAGATACGTATCTGTATGTTGACATGCTCAATTTTGTTAGAATCTCACAGGACTTTTGACTGCTTGAATTTTCTCACAGATGCCTACAAAAGAAGCTTGCCATGTTGCTGTTCAGAGGAATCACCCAAGCAAGCAAAAGCTGTGGAAGCATGCTCAAGCTAGGCAGCATGCCAAAGAAACCCCTATTGTTGAAATTGTATGTGTTTGCTTTGTTTTTACTTACTTCCACTGAAAATAAATATTCTCATAGCATTAGTTCTGGCTCTAATAATTTCAAGGAGCTTGCTTCTTGACTAGGTGTTTCCCTTCCATAGATAACTTCTAGTTGAACTAATGCCTGATTAAAGTTCTGAACCGACAACAAAAAATGTGACGATTCCTTTTGAATAAATAATATTTATTTGAAGTTGTGCTTGGTTAAGCTTCTGATGTAACAATCCAAAATCTGATAAATTTATGGGGATTATTATGAACACAAAACGAAAACTGTCCTAGTAGAAAATTGATTCAAAATATGTGTAGGGAATCTGAAAACCAACAGCATTCTTTTTTACCTACTGCAGAAACAAGGATTGCATGAACATGACCAACCTCAAAATTTTTCCTTGATGGCTTCTAATTCCTCTTAACATATTAAGAAAATATAAAAAGTAAAAAAACTAAAAGTCTATTCGCTCCATCCCATTAAATAAATATTGGATTGTGACCTAATCATACTTAGTTTGCAGGTTCAGGTATCCTATTTGTTATCGTCCTCTCTTTTTCCTTTCTTTTCCTCTCTTAATAATTGGTTTTTGGTTATATCAGGTATCATTTGGGTCAGAATTAAGTAATCGTGGGCCAACATTTGATATGGACTTATCTGATTTCTTGGATGGTGAGAATCCAATATCCTATGAGAAGGCATGCAAATACTTTGCACAGGATCCTTCTCAAAGGTTAGTTATTCTTCTTGCTTGGATATTAACTCCGCTGTGATTTTCTTACTCATAATGTGGAAAATTGTTTTAGGTGGGCGGCATATGTTGCAGGGGTAATTCTTGTACTGATGAAAGAATTAGGGGTTTGCTTTCAGGACAGTATCAGCATACTGGTATGTACATTACCTTTATAGTTAGTCATATTTTATTGGCAATTGGTAAACTACCTTTCCTTCCTTGTAAACACATTGAAAAACTTTTGTTTTGTAATTAAACAAAGTTAACCAGAAACTTTGTTGCCTGAGTGATTATCAAGGAGAAATGTCTCTCATATGTATGACTTCTAGAGGATTAAGTATGACATCTTCGTAATCATTTTCTTTTCTTTAAAGATCTGCAGTTTCTATAATGTTTGGAAACTTCATTTTGTCTGACTTTCATGGAGAGACTAATAACGTGGTAAATGCATCCAATTTTCTTAGCTTGATGATTTTTTTTTTCATAATAAAACCAGGTTTCCTCTGCAGTTCCAGAAGGCAAGGGGGTTTCTTCTTCGGCTGCATTGGAAGTGGCTACCTTGTCTGCTATTGCTGCTGCACATGGTTTGTATAATTATCAGAATGTTCCTATAGAAATGGTAGATGGTATACTATATTAAGTAGGTGCATAGCGTTTGTGTGATATTTTCCTCCAGAACAAATTATGCCTGCTTAAAAGGAAAAACACTTTAAGAACTAATTAACTGGGGGAAGCATTTTTTTGGTTTGAATAATTTTATTTGAAATATTTTGATATTTAAAGGACTTTTCTGCAATTATTCCAATTATTGATCATAGCTAGCATTCTCGAGTCAACTTTTTTTCGATCTATTATTTTCTCATATATACCTTGAAATTAGATAGACATAGAGAAAGCATACTCTTTCTGAAGTTTCAGTACACATGCCGTTACTCTATATTTTCCATCATTGACTGATCGCAAACCTTTAAGGTTTTACCAATGGAACTTGCCTATATGATTTATCTCAACATTGAATTTATGAAGTTCTCCGTCCATTCTTATCTGCTTCTTTTTTCTGCTCTCTACTTGCAGGTTTGGACCTTGCTCCTAGAGATGTTGCTTTGCTTTGCCAGAAGGTATGCTCATAAAGCAGATTTTCTTTTTCAAATTTCTTTGAGCTCTATCTGCATGTTATTTGAGAAGAGAACTATAGGTGGAGAATCATGTTGTTGGAGCTCCATGTGGGGTGATGGACCAGATGGCTTCTGCATGTGGCGAAGCAAACAAACTTCTTGCAATGGTATGCCAGGTAAGTATCATCATGAGGGTTAAATATTCAGTGTTTTATCATAAACACTCCCGCAGTTTCTAATTTATCTCAGGTTGGACCCTAAATTTTTAGTTATAACAATCTGATGTTGCATTTTTATCATTACAAATCGGATCCTCCATTTAAAATTTCTGTTTAGATGAACCATAACTCTGCGCGGCACTTTTAACAGAAAAAGGTACTGACACGTATCTAGGGATAATTTTTCAAAAAAAAATAATAATAAAACGCAAAGCTTCCTGGCTGGTCGCCTGTGCTTCACTAGCTGTCCCGTTCTCTGTCACGCTAATCAAGGTGGTGGTAGGTTGATCTTCGCCGTCCATCCTGGCATCATCAAGACCCACATCTTCACCCTCCTCGCCGGCCCCCTAGCCATGTCTCCGCCGCCTGCGCTTCCTCCCATTTATATCCGCTCCCCAAGGACAAAAAGCTCTAGCGAGACATCTGTACAGCCACATGGCCTTCGACTTCCAACCCTCACGTCACCGACGCCAGCTCCACATTCCACGGGCCATTGGTCATCTGATTCCTTCCCAATTTTCGATGAGCAATCCTCAGATACACCTCTCGGTTCATCTGGTTCGCAGCGATCATGGCGAGAGGTCAAGGTCGGGGATATGGTGCTCTGGAGGACGTTGTGGAGTGTGGTGGTGAGGTGCACGGGCAAGGAAGGAGGGGAACGGCAGGTGCGCTAGGTGAGTAAGTGATGGAGGGAAGGAGCTTGAGCGAGAGGGAGAGTTTGATAATTCTTGGAGGTGCAAAGGAAGGAGGGAGGACGCAAAAAAGAAGCTCAAAGAGTATTGAAAGGGGAAGAGGATTTGGGGATAGAGTGAGCAGAATATGGAGAGAGAGAGAGAGAGAGAGAGAGAGAGAGAGAGAGAGAGAGAGACCCAACTGACAAAGATGAAGAAAGGAAGATGAAATGCTGAAAATACTTCTCCCCGTACCAGTCATGAGTAAGCTCACACGAGTGGAGCGTGTGCAGGCACTATTAAACTAAACTGAATTTTAAGCGGAGGGTTCAATTTGTAATCTGGTGATAATGCAAAGTTAAATTGTTGGAACTATTAATTGGGATACCATCTGAGACAGATCAAAAACTGCAGGGATGATTTATGATAGAAGCCCAGATAAAATGTCTTTTTTTAAATGTCGGACTTGAGCACACACATTGTCCTCTTTGCAGCCTGCTGAGGTGCTAGGAGTTGTCGAGATACCTGCCCATGTTCGATTTTGGGGGATTGATTCTGGAATAAGACACAGGTATATGGCTTTAAACATTCTTCTTGTGGTTATTTTTCGTTCTGACTCTGGGAATTGCACAAAAAGTATGGTCTGCTTAGATGTCTCCTTCTTAAGATAATTCCATGCATTTAAAGTAGCTACCTTTCTACTGTTGGTCTCTTCAGCATAAGTTCACAAGTACTAATTTTTGAGTTGCTGCACGCATAGATGTAGGTAACTACAGTGTCTACATCAATGGTTTGGACAGTTCCTCTATATAAAATTCGTCAATGTAAAGAAAGAATAAAATCTTATGGTTAATGATGCTCATGACCGGCTAGTTCCTTTGAGAAAGCTTCTGACTTTAAGTCATTTACCAACGGCATTAACAATAGCTCTGACAATCCAATTTTTCATGGCTAGTTTCCTATCAGCACTTCTACACATAAAAGATAGGGATAACTAATGCCTGCATCTCATTGGCTCAGAGTTAAAAAAAATTCAAAATCATTCATCTTTGAAGTGGAAGAATAACTGCATCTTTTCCTTTTTCTTTTGAGCAGAAAATGAAAATCGTCCATCAATAAGTAAGAGGTTGCCCTTGCATAGTGTTTATCAACTATGAATGTAATGTTTTGCATCCCTTCCCTTAGATTCAAAGGCAGATTATTCAGATGGAGGCCAGCTTTCTGATTTTAATGTCTAGTTGTTTTCGTTGCATCAAATTTCAGAAATAAAGAACAAGGGACACTACTTTTTTTGACATGTAATTACAGTTAACATGGTTATTGATGTATCTAGCTGTTGACTGCAATTATATTTCCTTAATCCAGTGTCGGTGGTTCAGATTATGGTTCCGTGCGAATAGGGGCTTTCATGGGCAGGAAGATTATAAAATCGTTGGCTGCTGCATCATCATCAATCTCTTTGCCAGGAAATAACCCTGAAGAAATTGAGGAGGACAGCTTTGAGTTACTTGCAGAGGAGGAATCGTTGGATTACTTATGCAACCTCACACCTCATAGGTAAATTTTTTTTTTTTCCTGAGGAACATAGGTAATGTATTTGGTTAAGGTACCTCAGAGTTACTACTATTTGGAAAGGGTAATCAATAATTGCATCTACTTCTGAGAGTATCTGCCTGTAGTGTGAAGCTATTCATGTGATACTTGTATAGATTAAACTAAAATCAAGAAGATAGAGAGAACATAAAGAATTTAATGTAAGTGGCAATGTGGCTATTCTAAAGAAGCCATATATGATATTTGCATTATAAAAACATGGTATTCTGTGTTCTAAAAGATCATTTTTGTTTTACAAACACACACGTAATACAATTTTATGAATAAACATATGCATCATACATGAATTTTGGAAATGAAAACTAAAAAGTATTTTAGGTGACAATTGGAACTTTAATTTTACCAGTCGGATATCTATCCGAAATTAAAATGCTAAGATTTTACCTACTTTGTCTATGTATGTATTGTACAGGTATGAAGCTCTATATGCAAATAAGATTCCAGAGTCCACTACCGGGGAAGAATTCATTAAGATGTATAAAGATCATAATGATTCAGTCACAACAATAGACCAAAAAGTCAGCTATGCAGTAAGAGCACCCACTGCGCATCCAATTTATGAGAACTTCCGTGTTAAGGTCAGCAACCAGTGTAATATAACATGCATATCTTAGAGGAAAGAATCATTTGTTATCTATAATTCCTATGTTGGAAACTGAAATTAAGAGGATGTCAAAGATTAGAACATTTGTGTTTCTACCATTTTTGATAAATTATTTTATGTTTTCTGCATTATATATATATATATATATATTATTATGTTATTTAGAAAGAATGTTGCCATATTTTCTTTCCTTTTTCTCAGACTAATTGGTCACTGGACTTGTTTGAATAAACAACCAACCTTTAATTTCTATCCATGTTACTCAATGTTTCTTCTGTCCCTTCATGTCAACTAACTGATGCACTTCAATTAAATTTCTAGGCTTTTAAAGCATTGCTAACAGCTGCTACTTCCGAGGAACAACTCACTGCTCTTGGGGAACTAATGTATCAGGTATCCACTCAACATTGATAGTTTCTACTTATAACAGCTCATGACATAATTTGCATTGTGGTTAACAAGAAATTATTGTGTACAAGAAAATACTCTGATGTGGTATCTCTTCTCTTTACATAAATGACTTCATCCATGAATCTTCCTAGTCACTGTAATTTTTTCTTCCAGTAACAATTAGAAGGATTATCGCCTCAATATATACATTTTGTACAATTTCTTTTTGTGATTCACAGTTAATTTCTCTCTTTGCTTGCAGTGTCATTACAGTTATAGTAAGTGCGGACTTGGCTCCGATGGAACAGATAGGCTTGTAAGATTAGTACAAAAAATGCAACACTCTAAGATCTCAAAATCCGAAAACGGTACACTGTATGGAGCAAAGATCACTGGCGGAGGCAGTGGTGGGACTGTTTGTGTGTTTGGGAAGAATTCCTTGAGAAGCAGTGAACAAATTCTTCAGGTAGCTATTTGCCCTTTCATTTTTTTTGTCCATATTTAGTCTCTGTTCCTTGTTTGTGAAATTTTTTTGACACTGCTGATATCTGTATTTCCAGATTCAGCAGAAATACAAAGATGACACTGGATTTATGCCATATGTCTTTGACGGTTCTTCACCGGGTGCTGGCAAGTTTGGATATCTAAAAATTCGTCGCCTCACCTATGCGAAATCTATTTAATTTCCTTAAGAAATTATTTATTTATTCATTCAGTTTGGCATAAGAATATATATCTTGGCCGGACCAGCCAAATAAATGCTCTTGGAAAAATGACATCTATTACCCAATTTGCCAATTCTTTGTGCTGTTGCACTAGAATATTTTTCGTATTCAATTTTTTTTTTTTTTAAATAAAAAGTATTAATTGTGTATTAGTAAGGTACTAAAATGGGAGGTACTGTCGTATACAAAAATTTACAATAAAATTAGTGGATAGATGACAATTCTAAAACCTACATCCCTAATAATGTTATGCTCTAACAATATAGATATAAAATAATGTAACAATTTATCTTTTAATTTAATCATGCTACTTGATTCATTATCAAATTGATAATAAGAAGAAACATAAAAGAAGACTTTTTTTTTTTTCCAGATTCCACACAAGTAGATCATCCTCACAAAAACAATTTCTGTTCCGCCCGAAACCTATAACAAACCTTCATATTCCCCCAACTCCTAATCATTTAGATTTCTGTTAACATTAACGGACCAAACCACATTCCTATCAGACCTCTAGTAAGCCTAAAAAACAATCGTATTCTTGTTTTGTGAAACACTGAAGATGCATGGAAATCTCCCCTTAAGGCTGCCACCCCCCACCCAATCATCTTCTCATAAATTAATTTAATTCCTCCTACTCAGTTTCTCCTTAGTGCAGTACATACGGTTATCACCCACATCACCCCACAAAATATCTACATTCTAGTTTCACCGGAATGGTTAGAGTAGAAAAATAATATATTAGGAGGTCCTCTGTAAGCCTGCTTTTAATTAAGGTATATCTACTTCCTTTATAGAGAAAATTTCTTTTCCAGCCCGCAAGTCTTTTCTCAAATAAATCAATAATGTAAGTTGATCATTGTATTTAACCCTCAAAGGAGTCCCAAGATATTTGAAAGAGAATTTTACCTCCTTACATCCTAAAATCAAACCATAAGAGCCAGCCTCACTGCTGCCACCGATTCTCGCTAATTCGAACTCGAAGAGATTTATTTTAACCCCCGACACAGCTTAAAACCATAATAAAATACATATAAAATGTAATAGGTTCTTCAAATCTGGTTGGTAGAAATATAAGTGTATCATCAGCAAATAATAAATAAGACACCTCCAATGTGTTGTCACTATTCCCCACCATAACACCCCTCAGTAAATTAAGATCTTTAGCTCTCTCAAGTAGCCCGTTTAAGCCCTTGCCTTAAACCTCTTGAATTGTTAAAGACATCTATGCGTTTATAGATGTCTTTATTACGAAAATACCTAAGAGAGTTACATTTTTATATAATACTCAAAACATAAAGCATAATAGTTACGTTGCTCTATAACTAGTAGAATAATTTTATTACTTCAAAAAAACAAAAGTCATAATTTAATAACTATTCAATAGGAGTGAAACAAGGTTGTAATGCATTAGCTATTTAGTAAAATGGAATTGTAATTACATTATGTTATTCAATTCACAACAAGAGTAGTTCATTGGTCATACAACATTATTTTATTTGTTCGATTGTAATGAGATTAGAATAGATTTGTGATTAGCTTTAAATTACTAGAATATGCTTTTATTTTATTTGTTTGAAAATACATTTTAATGTATCTACAGTATAATACCATAATGTAATTAATAATTAAGAATTAAAATGTTATTAAACTATTAAAATTATACAAGTATAAATTAATAATTAAATTTCTTGAATTCTATATAAAAATTTATAAATTTGAATAAATTTTTATGTTCTATTACAGTTCTATTAGTTAGTCCGACAATTTGTGAAAATATCTTAAAATTTTTAATTTTCATTTCGGTTTTATTATTATTATTTTCATTGTTAAGTAAATGTTTTACAAATCAATGCATCTAAAATTTAAAAAATAAAAATTTAAAAATATATTTTTTTTTGTTCAAACAGATTCAATTGTTCAATGGGAAATTAACTTATACATTTTCTGATTCATCTGATTGTGTAAGGATTTAGAAGTTGTCTCAAAACAGGAAGTAGTGACAGTTTGGGAACCAAAGGTTTCAAATTTAGTGCGCACAAATATTTCTATTCACTAAATTCTGAATAAATTATGAAGAGTGGGTAATATGAAGGGGATGATTAAGGAGGTGAAGAAAGGTAAATGCTGCAAAAGTCATGGTTGTCAATTATAAATACTAATTACTAGACCTTGATATTTTGAAAAACTATAATTTTAAATGTTATATTCGAAGTTAAATTAACACTATGTAGTGAAGAAGGCTAACTTCTATTGGCGAATGTTTTCTTGCTTGGGAGAAAAGCACAAATTTATGGGCTCGAGAAAAGCTGGTGTTTCAACTGCTTGTTCATTCATTTGAGCATGCTCCTGAAAATTGTTGGCAAGGCTGGAAGAGGCAAGAAGGGTGATTTTGTTTGATTACTTGACTCCCCAAATGGGTTTTCCCTCCATTAAGATAATTAACTTAAACTACGAGCACAATAGTTGCTTATTAACATGAGTGAATCAGAAGAAAATAAGGATCTGCTTTTAGTTTCTTATTTTTTTCAAGACTTTTGTGGGTAGACAGGTTTTTTGGTAAGTATATAAAATTATATATTTGTAGAATAATCAAATAAGAAATAAAACAATTTTCTGAAAACACTAAAAAATAATATTTTAATTTTTTTTAATTAACTAATTTGTATGGTTTTATGAATAAGATACATATAAATTTAAAAACAAAATAACAAAATTAACTAAAAGACGTTTTTATATATCAAATACAACCTAACTTTTTAAGAAAATATTATAAAGTATATATATATATATATATTTTACTTTTTACATTAAAACCATATTTTTACTAGTATATGTACGTGACACTTGAAGCCGCTAAGAGATATTGGGAAGCAAAGCATCACCGTTTATCGGAAAGCAGTGAATATTTTGTAAAAAACAAAAAATGAGAATATTAACAAATTGTTACTTCATTACTTTTACCTTTCTTTGAAAAATTTTACTGCAAATTTGTTGTGAGATATTGAAAAAGATGTTAGAAAAAAATTTATCTAATCACCCTCGAATTTCAGCAAAAGACTAGGAACATTTAAAGTAACTGAAATTATTTGTATTTAAAAGAAGATTACACTAATGCTGAAATTACCGAAAACATTACAATATATTATTATTATTTTTTTAATAGAGAAGAGCATATTTTAGTTGTTTATTAAAATAATTTTCACTCAATGCATTTTATTCCAATCAATATTTTACTTTGAAAACTTGGTTAACACCGATCTCTCTTCTCTTCTCTTCTCTTTTCTTTTCCTCCACCCAAAAGCCGAAGGGACGAAAATGAGCTCAGGATACGATAAGATTGGAGGACAATATGGCAATTATTTATAATGGCAGTAGCTACCAAGTGAAAGACTTCAATTTTCTTTATACCAAGACTATAGTTTTATTCGTGAGTAGGATCTGAACCTAAGTGACTTGACTTTTAAGTGAAAAAAGGAACAATTAAACCAGTTTCTTTTGTAGGTTTTTTGAATCCTTGGCTCGATCCCACGTTTAGAGTTTAGCGAGACCAAAAAGAAAATACAAACAGAGAATTTTTTTTATAAAAAAAATACAATTATTTTTCAGCAAAAAATTCAAATTAAGAAAAAAAGAAGTCATGATATGTATCAGTTTTATTATCAACAAGATATAAAACCGTAGGTGCCAGAGAACTGAGAGAACTCGGGTACCTAAGACACACTGGGCAGCTAATCAAAATTTTTGTGGAATACGGAGTCACTAACATATTTTGTGAATAATGAAATGCCAAACTGTTTGTATCTATACCAAACTCGTCCCAAATTTTGTTTAGGACGAGAACCTTGCAGAAACAAATGAACAAACCTTTAAGAAATATTTCCGGTCAATAAGAAAGCAGAGCATCTTAACATAATTCTGTTGGCTATTTGCTCATGACTGTAATTCTAATTTAATGTTAACTTAGATTCTTTCTTATCTAGTTTTTTCCAAAACAACCAAAAAGCTTATACACCATATTTCTTTAACTCCCTCCTCGCCTACATGGCTCCAGGAGTCTAACTGGACCTCTCCTTTCATTCATAATATGTCAAACCTAGTATGCTTAAGTGACATATATGACCGGATACAAAAAACATTATATTCGACATCAAAAAATGGAACCCCAACCAAGCCTCACAGACAGTTAGAGTTGCTAGATAGAACAGCCTCCCCTACATTCACGATCAGCTGATCATACCTGATCGCGACTATACAAGCTTGAAGATTCCTTCCTAGCTTGCTTCCTGGGCGGTTGATGAAGAGGATCAATAACAGGGGCTTCAAAATATGGAGGTGGAAGTGCTGGTCTACCAAGCGCCAGCTCCAAATGATTTCTAGCATCGTCTGGACTTGCAGTTGCTGGATTAACTGCAGGAAAACATAGAAATTTCATTGGTTGGGTGCAGGCATAGCAGAGTGCCTTCCCTAAAAAAATGCTAGTAAAAAAAAAGATCGTATAGCAGGACTTCTAGCACGCTCAGTCAACGAAAATCAAATGTTGAGAATAAATGTTTATCCTACAGTAACTAGACTAAAGAGTGAACAAGTTATGCCAATTTGAGAAGGTGGTGGACAAAGCTCTTCCAGGTAATCAATGTTTATGCCACAGTAAATAGACTAAAGAGTGAAGATGTTATGCCAGTTTGAGAAGGTGGTGGACAAACCACTTCCGGGTATTCAGTCTATACTAGTCCCGTTTTCAACTTGTGAATAAATTATGTGCTATTGAAAAGAGACAAATGGTCCAAAAGAAATAGACAAGAATATATCCAGACACTTATTAGGAGCAGCAGGCATTCCAGAAGAATCTAGAACCATAAATCTTTAGGCCTATCAAAAAGCAGTTTCTATGCCCTTCAAAGTCCCATCTACTACATTTTCATTTTATGCTACTGGGAAGAGTACTCCTGAATTAAATGGAGAGAATTATCCATAATGCAGAAGTTACTACAATAGATAAAATCAAATAAAGATAAGAAGATGATTATAAAAACTAAATATTTTAAAAAATGTCAAGATATTTCATTCTTAAACCCTTAAGACATTTCCATATAAAAAAAACTAGACTACCATAAAATAGCACAAAAATAAGCAATAGCCTTGTTTGAGTGATATTTAAACACTTTTTCTCCACTTCCCAGGTTTAAACAAAGTTAGCTTAATTCGTTTGCAGTTCATGCTGCTAACTCTCGTTCTCCCACCTGCCCAAGCCATTTGCTGAGTGGCAAACTCCCTCCTTTTTAGGGTTATAATGGCTCGTGTCCAAGCCCTTTAACTTACAAGCCTTTGAGGCTAAGAAATAAAAAATCTTATTGAGCATACAATTAATTCACTGGTACTCTAGTTGAGTTTGCTATTCTGTGTTAGTTTCATCATCATACCTTCACCAGGTTCAAGGGGTTTAGAATTATCATGTGAAGCAGTTACTCGAGAGCGCTTCCTCACATAGTTTTCCTGCAAAGGCTTGGGGATTTGAAATGAAAATCTTGAGAGAGTAACACCATCTGTCACATATTCTGGATGTTCCATCAAATACCTGCAAATTGAGGACGTTAAATAGTAAATATAGAGTTGATGTAGTCTCTGAGTTGAAAGAAACAAACTTTGTCCTAAAACTCCAATTTACAACCCTTATAAAATTAAAATATTAATTGATATGCGAAGTCCAGAAAAGTAAAATCCCAAATTGATCCATGTACCCCACACTTTTCTCTTTAAGAACATAGGCATCCAAAATCAACAACACAAGAGAACTGAGCAAGTGTCATGAACTTACTTTTGGACCTCTACCATTGAACGGAGTTTCTTGCCAGAAGGTGCTTGATAATACCTGAAGATATTCAAAGTAAGCATATTATAATAGGATTGATGTTTGCTGAGTTGTGATCTTCTAAACAAGACTTCCAGAGGTCTGATAATCCACAATACAGTATTATAGCTCCACCTCAAGGTTCTAGAACATAACACAGGAAAGCCTCAACCATCAACAGAATTCTAGCAGATCATAAAGGAAATAATAAACCACCTAGAGATCCTCAGAGGATGGAACTGCACCATTACACAAAGTGCTAAAATATAGTGTTGCATCTACTGAAGCAAATAAATAATTGGACAGTTATGCTCTTGGAATAATTGGTCATTCGACTTGATTATTTCACATAGTAAGTCAAATTTCAAGAGTTCAAATCATGAATGCCTTGTTTATATTTAAATATTAAAGTCAGTACATAATAGTAAACGTGTGTTTTATCCATGCCTTAAATCCTGTTAGCTTGTAACTGATCGGGTGCGTTAAAGTAAATAAATAACTAAGCCAGGTCCTTTTCTATCAGCCTAAACTTTGGATAATCAGTCCCTCAATTAAATTACTTCACAACATATAATGCAAACAGACACTATAACACACACGTCTAGGGCATCAAACAGCTAAAAGGCAAGCCAACGATTGGAAAATATTATAAGCTAAAAAAGAGTCGAGAAGAACTGTTTTTTTATATCCCACGCTACCACAATGCTAATATGCACATAGTTCATTCTGGAAGTTATATGACACAAGCAAGCTTAGGCATCTGTATAACAGAAGAGTAACAAAACAATAGCATGTGTTAGTACATATAATAGAAGCAAAAAGAATATAAGATATGAATTTCGCTGGAAACAATTAACAAATCAAGCAAACAATTAGAAGATACACAAATGTTTTCTTCCTATTCATCCAACTGAAAGCAGTATCTGTAAAAATTTCTTATGTCATAATATTGTCCCAATGCTATGATCTCCCCTGTATGTACAAATATACACTAACTTTGTTAAGAGAAAGAAAGAAAATGCAAGGATCTAACCACATCCCATAATTTTTCTGTTATAAGAATATTCAACTAAGGATAGTTTCAGAAACATGAGTCCTCAATTGGCTACTTCAAAATTATCCTTTCACTTTGTAAGAGGCTTTAATCATAAATCCTTTTAATTTGTAATAGGCAGCCTGATTAATTAGCAGTTCAAGACCATGTGTTCAGTCTTTCAAAATACCTACTTATAGAATTTTATACGGGAAAGACATGAAAGAAATTAATCCATGCTGTTGGGAGGGGTAAAAGAGCAAACAAGAAACTTACACATCTGCAAACTTGGTACTTCCTTCAGCCCTAATTCGGAGTAGTCGTTGCCAGCCAGGAGGGGGCTGGGCAATATTGGGTTTATCAATTGCCCAGAGTCTGCTGCCATCTTGAGAGATATCAGCAGGATCATCACATGACAATTCAGGCCGCCACTCACGACCTGTTTCGCAAACAAAAGGCCTTTCAAGAATGTGTTCACGTATCTCTTCATACTTCTCCTTTGTTGGAATAAGCCTCCATTTAAAACAGTTGGCACATTGGACAGTGAAAGCCCCTACAGATGGCAAAGTTCTAGATGCAGTTGATTGTCTTGGGTGTGACGAAGGCTGCCACCGGAGAGGGCAAGGTTCAGGGACAGGCCCAAGTTCTCCACTACCATTCGCGCAAGGGTCATAAAGGACCAATTGATTATTGGCATTTGCAGTCTCTTGGTCAATGTCATTTTGTGTATCCTCTGATAACAATGATGTTGACGATGATGAAGACGACGATGGAGAAACCTCTATAGGTTCCTTGGTAGTACTACCCAGATGATAAGCAAGACTTGAACTGGTAAAGTCCTTTGTTTCCTTCTTTACTCTAATAACCTCTTCTCTTGGATGTGACTGCATTGGAATATATCTCAATCACCTGTGTGAATGTTCCATCTGTCAATGCATGGATAATAGAACTAGAACTGCAATTTTTTTTCATTAAATCAATTAGTGGAAGTCCAACCATGCTTTTACATTAAATAAGAGGGGAAATAAGCAAGTGTACTTTTGTTGCGGCTTAAAAAAAAGTTTTTTTTTTTTTTTTTTCCGAGTAATAAACATGTGACAAAGTTGCTTATTAATCTCACAGTACTATAGTGGCTAATCTCATTAGTTGTTGCTCCCTTGCAGTGCATCAGTAAAAAAGGATGGTTAGTGCCACAGAGCAATCTTCATTGATTACAAATCGCATCAAGATTTGGATCCAAAAACCAGCCGCATCTATATTGAATGCTAAATTATGACCACACCGAGCTACCAGATATAAGGCTCAAAAGCAATGCATAAGGAAATTGCCGGCTTTTAACCTACTGACTCGCATCATTTAAAAGCAGCATCCAACAGTCCAATTATTATTTTACTACTAACCTGTTCCAGTTGATATCCTTCACTTGAATCGGTGGTCTCTTGAATATCTAAACAGATAGATCAAACTGTTCCACAGTCCAGCTTCAATGGCCTCGTATCAGATGCTGCCAAAAGACCAGAGAAATCCACTGCATCAGTTCAAGAACTTAACAGAAGAAATTCTAATTGAAAAAACAAAAGTTTGCCCTCCGGAAATTCCAGTCCAGCCGTTCTTACAATACAAAACGGACACAAATATAAGCAAAGAAAAAATTCTTACGACGCATAACAGAGCAGGAACCAGAACAAGATAGGAAAGGAGTAACTCAGAAGACTTAAACTTCGCTCAATCTTCTAGTCTCCTTGTCATTATTATCGAAGAAACATTGAAGCGCCCAAGAGATTCATTCAAGACATTACGATCTATACATTGTGTTGCCATAAATGTCCAAATAAACACCCAGTTAAACCAACGGAAATAACAACTAAGGTCGAAAATGTAGGGAAATGAGGAAAAAGCGAAGAGAAACCAATGGAGTTGGGAGAAAGAAAACTCGCATCTCCGAACAAGAGAGAATTGAAGAAAAACAAATTAAATCAAAGCACAAAACCAAGAGTAAAGATGAAGAGCATGCATATAACATCAACCTCCGGTTGGTTACGGAAAACAACAGTTAAGATCAAACATCGCCTTCCAAAACACAGAAACCACATCTTTCTTGCCTTTTTCAAGCGCTTTACCAGTATCTAGACATGAGCACGGGAGTTTCAGAAAATTATTTAAAGAAACAATAGCAACAGCTCCATGAACGATCAAACAAACCATGAATTACGATCCGCTCAAATGTTTCCCAAGGGATCCAAGAACAGAAAACTATATATATATCTATATAACATCAAGTTTCAGTGGAAGATAAACCGAAGAGCAGAGACGAAGAGATTACAGAGAATAAGCATGGGATCTGAAGAAATGATGAAATCAGAGCCGTCGATTGAGATGGAACGCCTGGATCGTACGATGAGAATGACGTAGCAGATATTTTGGTTTTAATCTGATCGATTTTCTATCTGGCTGCAAGTAATTTTCTTCCCTCGCTCTGCTTCGTGCTCCTCGGTAAAAGAGGAAGAGAAGTGGAAGACAGAGAAGAGAAGAACAAATAGGAAGAGAGAAAATCCTTATTTTATATAAATAAATAAACTGAATATAACCCCATTGGCACACCAACAGGGATATAATTTATACAACCATCTAATCTAACTGATACGTCCCCCTTTATTTATCACCATTTATATTTAATTTTTTTGAGTTGAATATTTAGGATATGCGTATATTATTTTAATATAATGATAAAACTATATGGTCTGATTTAATTTTAAAAAATAATATTACTGTTAAAATTATTAAATTTTATAATACATATAATATAAAAATTATATTTCAAAATTATACTTTTTAATTTATTAAAAAAAATAAAAATTATATGTTCTTTTTTAATAAAAAATAATAAAACTATCTAAAATAAATTATTAATTTAGGATATTAAAATATCTAGAAATCAAATCATAATAAATCAAGCTGAATCCAGAAGTGATTGTTATTTATTTATCTAAAAATCAACTCAAATATAAATGATAATCAATGTTTTTGTGAAGTTTCTAATATTAATATGAGAATCCTTATTTAATAGAACTAGATAAAGATTTTATGTTAATGTATAGAATCTTACTTAGAAAATATCCGATTTTTTAAAATTATACTATACAAATTTACAATAATTCGGCATCGTCTTTAATTTAAATTTTAAATTTAAAATATAAATATAGTTAAATACAATGAATTTTGGATTGCCCTATAATTTTAAAGTATATATGGCTTTTTTTACTCATTTTTAGAGAAAAAAAAAATTAAATGTACAAATTCATAATAAAATATATATATATAAGTGAAATTATAATATATTTGAACCAAATAAAATTTAAATACAAATCAAACTTTTTTATAAAATGCAAAGCACCAAAATTATTTTTCCTTTTTAATGAATAATATTTTTTAAAATATAGTATATTGATATTAAACATAATTTGATAAATAGTACGAATTATATGAAAATTTTATTATAAAATTAATTATTTAAGTTAAAAATTTATACCGATCCATTAAAAAATAAATTACAAATTTTCTCCATCGTATTAACAAAATATATAATTATATAATTTATTTTTACGTTGATTTTTTTAATACAGATAAATAAATAAATTTAACTTTAAAATATAAAATAAAACATCATATGCTCATAATATGATATTTATAATATTTTGAATATTATAAAACATTATGTGCTCATAATATTTTAAATGATTCATAGTCACAAATCATTGTACTAACAGTAAAATATTATAATTAAATTTTTTAAAGTTACAATTAATAAGAAAATAATAATTGTACAAATTATTGTACAAGCACTATGTATTTGTTTGAATAATTAAATTTCTTTCATTTTTCTATTATATTCCTGTTATTTTTTATATAAAGTAAATATAATGCACTCAATTATAGCACATAAATTAGTAAATTAAAATAATTAATAATTATATAATTTGCTTATAATAATACCAAAATGTTACTCAAAATTCGACTTTATTGTGTTTGAACAATAAACAAGTATGGCACGGGTGCATTAAAATAAATTATAATTTAATTTTTTAAAT